CTCCCCTTCTCTCCACATCCCTCCTCTTGTCCCCCCCCCATTTGTATTTCCTATACCCACTGGCCCTACCTCCCCACCACCCGCGCAAGCGATTTGCACACATCGCGTTTCAATTGGTATGATGATGATAATGCGGAATACTGGGCGTTCTCTGCAACCTTCGGCATAGCGACGCGGCGGCGTGCGATCCAAAAGCGAGTTTGAAAACGGCCGCCCACGAGCGATCTCGAAGCATTCACACACACACTACTCGCATTGAGGGGGCTTGTCCTGGGGCGCTATACCCCCGCCCCACAACCTTGACCTTTGCCACGCCGAAGCGTCTTAGGCCTCCCCCTCCCCTCTTCTCCTCCCATCGCATGTTTGTTCACGGCCTTTATCATTCATGTAATCTCCAATCGCCCGGAGACGCCTCACTCATGCTCTTCCCCTCTCATCCTCGCGCGGCTCTCATGCGGGATGCTGATCGAACGCCGCGCATAAAACATGCGATGAGCTCCGCTCCGTAATCAGCTCGCTCGCCTCTCGGCCCACGCGCGCGGCGGCGTCGCGGAGTTTTCATAATATTTCCCTCGTCTACTGGCTGCTGCTGCGGCAAAACATAAACTAGTCGCTATAGGAGTTATATATCGGCGGGCGGGAAAGGTTTTGCGGGGAGGCGCGGATTAGTGAAACTGGTCCCCCATGTCCCCGCACCTCCACTATTTGTAATTTAACACCCGCCGGGTACTTAGTTTTTATTGTCGTCATTGTGCCGCTTTGGGTCGCCTCGCGGCGCGCGGTCCCCTCCGGGAGCTGGCGCCCCTCCCCCCCGGATGTGGAGCAGCTCGCCCACGCCGAGCAGAGCATCCTCGGCCACCGTCCTGCCGCAGCGCGGCGCTGCCCACTCGGCCGGCGGCGGCGCGTCTCACACCGCGATTAGCTGCATCAGCGATTTCTCATAATCCTAGAGCAGCCCAGTCCGTGTCCGGCGCGGTGTCGGGCGCGCAGCTGTAGCGCTTCGTGTCATCCTGGTGATGGCTCGCTTCCGGCGCGCACCGCCACCTTACCGACCTGGAGTTTACTCTAGTAATATTTTTTTTTGTGCGCCATTCTTCTTGAAGGGTATCCCTCTCGCGTGGCGCGGCTGCTCAGCTACACTACTGTAATTAGGGATGTCTCAAATGTATACGCCAAAGAGCGTATGCTATAGGATCCAGAGCGACATTTGGCTGAAAGACGCTCACGTCCTACCCTCCCACGTGCATGCATAAAGCTGGGGCTGTGCTGTGGGAGTAGTATGGGCGAAAATATCTAGAATCTATACGCCAAAAGATGTCTCCAAAGTATACGCCAAATGCCGCTTTGGATCCGGGAGCATACGCCTTTTGGCGTATGCATTCGAGACACCCCCAAATTACAGTGTAGTTGGGCGGCAGGGTGGTTAATGGAGATGATGTCACGGGCGCTAATAGAGACATGAGTTCACCTTGGCTGGCTCCGACAGGCACCTCCAGGAGGTACCTCCAGGTACTCGCCACAGGTGAAAGCGCTCGGTAATTATTTCCCGCGACACACACACACGCGCGCGCAGAGGCACACACGTGCGTGCAAACACGCCTGGGGGAGTAGAGGGGCCCAATTCCCGCCCGTCACGCATTCGTAGATACGATGGAGACACTTTACCAAAGTGCATTAGGGGTCTATCGTCACCGCGACGGAAATGGTCGGCTAGGAGAGGGCAATGCGAGCGAGAGGAAGAATAATCGAAGAGTGGTAGTAGTGTTAGTACAGCGAGGGGAGGGGGGGGGGCTGCTGGAGGACGCGTCCGCCCTGGAGAAGGGGACCGCCCCCCAGCGCTGGCGGTAGGGAGACCTCGCGGGTCGATGCCCCATCTCTCTCCCTCCTATGCACTCTGCGACTGCGACTCCTCGGAGATAAGCTGCGAGGTTTTGCGTCCAGGGCGCAGTGGGAATGGCACTGTCCAGTGTCAAAAGGCCTGTGCTGCCGCAGTAAAAGTTTTTACGAGCTTGAAAACCGTCCGCGATGCACACCGAAGGTGGTGCCTTTTTTCCACTGCAGCTCCTCCCTCCTCTCTTTTCCTGCAGGTCCATACCAATTCTTGGGCATTTAAAAATAAAATAAAAGGAAAACTTTGAGTGGAATTTTTTTGTGTGCCTGCTTTTGCGCCCGCCGCTGCCTCCGTGGCGCCCGCCGCGCCCCTTGCGCCACTGTTTGTGCCCCACCCGCAGTTAATTCCGCGGCCCGACTTTTACGGCGCGGCGCAGACAGTGTCGGCCCCTTTGAATGGCCGGTGGGAGAGGGACACACCGAGGGGGGGCCTTCGGCTTCTACACGACACTACTTTGCGCGGCGCTTCGTCAAAACACTTTGTTCGTCTCTTGCGTGGTTCATGTGGGGATCTGCTGCTGATGCGCATTGTGTCGACCCAAATATATTTTGTGTGTGTGTGCGGGTGGAGTGTACTTTTGGACGCATCCGGGCTGCTCGGCGTGGGAGCCCCGGGAGCGCCCCGGGCCCCGGCGCGGTGGCGGCGCCCCGGCGGTCAGGGGGCCACCACCACGCGGGCCGTGCCGAGCTGCCGGTGGTGGTGTTTTACCGGACCCGACGCGGGCTTGGGATTTATCCACGGAAACGCATTGTTTATCTTCTACTTTCTCTTGTTTGCTCATCGATTCTCCGCGCAGCAGAAGCCACGCCGCGCCGACCCCGACGCAGATTATATTTTTCCTCTCCTCCCGAAGCGCTGCTGCAGCTACTTTGTCCGCGGCGCCGGGGCGCCGGCTCCGGGCCGGGCGCCATAAAGGTGTCGTTGAGCGTCGTGAGTGGTCCTTTACTGTTCCTTAATCGTCCCGCCCTGGCCCGCTGCCCACCAAACACGACAGTCCCCCCGACCGCGACTCGTAAATCTTTTCATCGCATCTTTATGATTGACAAATCATGATTTTTTTATATCTCAAAAAAAGAGACTGTCCTTTAAAAAAAACACACAAATACACACACACACTAGTCCCCAGCCTGTCTCTCGTCTCCTCCCTCGGCGTCGCGCTGCTACAGTACCCTGCACTTCCACATGCTAATGCTGACCTCTGTTTTTTGTTTATCTGCTGTAATGTCCGGCTATCGCGTTACACTCCTGCCCCGCTTTAATTACAGTGATTGCCGATGCCGATTGGCGCTGCGCAGTCGGACTGATTTCTGATTGGTCGTGCTCGCGACGCCCGTGCTCCCGGCTGCCTCGCCACACACCGCGCGCATGCTGACCTCGGCAGGGAGCGCTCTCCGCGAAGGGCTTACGGCTTACGGGCGGAGCTCTTTGCAGCCAGCAGACCTTCTCCTTCATTATCTCGACGCTCTTTTGTCTTCCCGGTCGCGTCGCCGGTCGAGCGGCGTGGTTCAAACTTTTGCCGCCACTGCCGCGTCGTCATCACGATTTATGCCCAATCACCGTTTTGTGGCCGGCTCGCGGGAAGCGCCGCGCCTGCTCC